TCCACATTTTGTTACATTATACAGCCTTATTCTAAAATGGATTAAATTGTTTTTTTCCCTCATCAATCTACACACAATACCCCATAATGACAAAGCAAAAACAGGTTTTTAAAAATCCACTTCCATGCAGGTAGGACATGTAGAAAAACCTATTGTTGACTTTAAAATGAATCATTAGACATAGTTTTAAGAGAAGGAACACTTAGTCATGGCTTTGAAGTAAACTGGAGGCCAAAGAGTAACAAATAGGCTGGCTAATCAGAGAGAGAAGATGTGGCTGTCAGAGGGAGGGAGGGAGAGAGGGAGGGAGGGAGGGAGGGAGGGAGGGAGGGAGGTAGGGGGGGAGGGACAGCAATAGCAGGGTTAGTAGATCATTCCATATTTACCTACTGTGATATATTTTATGAAATATTTTAATGGACAACTTTCTAATTAATTGTATTGAAATTCTGTTACTGAGAAATCGCTGGAACTCATCCAGTGATGTCATTACCAGTCACACAACCTGAGAGACTGTGACCATGACAACTGACCACACGGTGCAGTGGTTGACTTGGGGTTGAGGGGAGCGTCAGAAAGACAGAAAGGCAGAGCGTTAACTCTTTCTCAGCAGCATCACTTTTAGTTGAAAATGGGCCTGTGGGGAACCAAGGTAGAGTTATGTACGTTCTCATGCATACTTGTGTGTGTTTGTGTACTTGTGCAGACGTGTACGCACACAATAATCACTTGTTCTCAGTTGAAGCTGACGTTTATCTCAACGAATACCATCTCAAAATACTACGGAAATAGAACCACCAAATCACCTAGTATTTTCTGATAAAAAACATATCAACAAAATAGACTGTCCAATTGATGATATGAATCATGGACGCTATACTACACAATCAGTGATGAACACAACATTTCCCCCTCTCTTTTAAACTAGGCATGAAAGGAGGTGATAAAGACTTGAAGGTGAGCAGGTTGAGAACACACCCTTACAGGCCACAGAACGGGTACGTCAGCGACAGCAACAGGTGCCTGTGGGGCTGGGACTTGTATTTCAGTTGGGGCCAAGGGAGCTTGCGCCACCGGTAGTAAACCATTCAAGGTGGCATCAATGGCAGAGTGGGGACATGCAGGAGGTGGCACCTTCCTCAGTCGGCTGGCATGCCAGCGAGAGCTGTCAGTCAGTTGAAATGTTGCTGGGCCCAGCTGACGTTGAACTTGACACAGTGTTGACAAGAAGGTGCGTAGCTTGTCTATGCGGTGTGGTTGTTGCACCCTGACCCAATACCTCACTTGGATTCCAGGAAGACGTGCTCGCTTTCTTTTGTTGTAGCGCTCCTGACTTTTACGCTGTTGGCTTTGCACTGCTGCTTTGACTGTTGAGGCTGTCGGGTAGCCAATAGATGGACGGAGTCTGTGTAGGGGCAGCTCTAGTTCACATCCTAAGATCAGCTTGGCAGGAGAGACTCCGGTGGTGGAGTGGTGAGCAGCTCTGTAGTGCAGCGGAGTTTGTGATAAGGACTCAGTGAAGGAGCAACCCTGAGCTAGGTGAGCTCTCAGTCCATTTTTCAGGGTTTGATTGAACCTCTCAACCCTCCTGTTGGCCTGGGGGTGGTAGTAGGCTGTTCTGAGTTCACCGCAGATGTCCAGTTGGATATGTTCCCATGGACGGGAGGGCCAGGCAAGTGGCTGCAGTGGTGGATGAGGGCCTGTCTTTCAACTGACAAGGCATGGAGCACAGTCACGGACTAGCCCTTCGATATCATAATCGATGCAAGGCCACCACACCAGGTCCCGGCAGCGCTGCTTCAGCTTCACAATGCCAAGGTGGCCCTCATGAGCCATTGCCAACACTCGTCTTCTAAGGCTGCTTGGTATGACGGTGCAGTTTCCGCGAACTAGACGTGTCATTCCAGCATGACAGCTCATGTTCGAACCTGGCATATGGCCGGCCAGCCATTGGCTACATATTCCCGCAAGGTTGTGAAGATGGGGTCGTTGGCTGATTCTTGTGTCAGCTCCTTGAGCGACACTGTGTCTTGGAGAGGTGAGTGTAGGAGCTGGATGAGGTCCTCCTCGGAGTCAACGTGGGTACAGGTGGAGTCTGGGGGAACTGAGTGCAAAAGAAAGTCGGCCACCACATTGTCCCTGCCTGGCATAAACTGCAGCTTAATGTTATACTGCTGGAGGCGGTCTGACCAGCGATACATGCGGAGGGGCTCGTGACCCGACCCGGAGGTAGACATCAAGGCTGTGAGGGCCTGGTGGTCAGTACGCAGCATGAAATAACGTCCGTAGAGGTAGATGTGCCACCGCTTGCATGCCCAGACGCATGCTAGTGCCTCCCTCTCCCCAATGGAGTACTTCTGCTTGGTGGGGCTCAATGCGCGAGACGCGAAAGCCACTGGCTTCTCAACATCGTCCTGAAGCTGAGAGAGGACCGCTCCCACTGCTGTGGCTGACGCATCACAGGTTGCCACAGTTGGGCTGGTGAGATTAAAGTGGGCCAGGACAGGTGAAGTGGTCAGCAGTTCTTTGAGAGAGTGGACAGTCTGTGCACAGTCGGGCTTCCAGGCCCAGGACAACTCCTTCTTCAACAGCTGACGCAGAGGGTAAGTGATGGCCGTGTACTGGGGCAGGAAGAGCATATAGTAACCCGTCATTCCCAGAAATGAGGCAAGTTGTGTAGCAGATGTCGGTTCTGGGACACAATGGATGGCGACCTCTGGCACTGAGAACAGTCACATCTCAGTGTTGAGTGTGAGGTTGTGTTGACTGAGTTCTGCGTAGGCTGCTTGCAGACGTTCATCATGGACGGCAGTGTTGGGACCATGGACGACGATGTCATCCAAGTAGACAGTCACTCCAGAGACCCCGGCAAGGATGTTGGACATGATCTTGTGGATACAGCTGGGGGCCGAACTGAGAACAAAAGGCATGTGTAGCGGAACACCACGATATGAGTGACAAAGGCTGTCAGGTTCCTACTCTCTGGGTGTAGGAGGTAGCCCTTGCAAAGGTCCAGCTTTGTGAAGACCGTCGACCCGTAGAATTGAGTGGTCAGTTCCTCCATGGTTGGCAGTGGGTACCGATCAGGTATGACGGCCTTGTTGGCCACTCTCAGATCCAAGCAGACCCGCAGCTCTCCAGACTTCTTTTTAGCGATGACCAAGTTGGACACCCATGGTGCTTCTGTAGATCCTTAGCGACCTCCTTGCGTAAAGCCAGTGTGGATTTTGGCGTAGAGGTTGAATGACTGGAGTCACCGTAGGGTCAAGGAGGGGCTTATGTGTGAACACTGTCAGGGCACCTATGCCTTTGAAGAGGGTGGGCCATTGCTCTTGCAATGGGGAGGCGACTTGCAGGATTGTTGAGCCAATGTTGTCCAACAGAGAGAACCCCAGGCTGGTGAACAGGTATAGACCTAAGATATTAGTGCCCTGTCATGTGATGTGGAAGGGGAACTGAGTGAGGGCCTTGTTGCCATACTGCTCATGTGAGTGTATAAAGCCGACTACATCAATAACTAAGCGCCTATATCCGTACAGGCTAAGGCTGGGTGGCTGGAGGGGCAGGTGGGACAAGAACTGCTCATAGGTAGCCATGTTGAGGAGCGACACCTTTGCTCCTATGTCTAGCACGAGAGGAATGCAGGAGTCACCCAGGTATACAGCACAAGTGGAAAACCCAGCCGGGTTTGAGACAACAGTGTGAATGACAGCAGGGGGTGTGTCCATGGGGCGTGAACGTTGGTGCACAGGGGGTTGGAGCTCACCTACACCACTTTGCAAAATGGTTTGGTTTCTGACATCGTCTACATGTCTGTCCACGAGTGGGGCAGTCAGGGGCACGTTAATTGTGTGTATTGGAACCACAGTTGGCACACCGTTGATGCGCCTGGGTTCTCATCAACTGCACTGAGGCACTCATGTCACTGTCTGAGTGACAGCTACAGTCTGAGCGCTGAGACTTCTGCACAGCTTGAACAGCACTGGAAACATGTGTCTGTGCCTCAAAGATCTTAGTTGCACATTGAGCTGCTGATTCCACTTGGGAAGCTATGGCCACAGCTTTTGCTAAAGTCGGATCATCATCTTCAAGGAGAAGCCTCTCCCGCACGAGTGAGCTTGAGTTTCTTTCAGTTAACTGGTCCCTGATAATTTCATCTCTAAGATAACCAAACTGACATAACTGCGCTAGCCCTTTAAGATCACTGACGTACTGTGTCACTGACTCACCCACGCGCTGTGCGCGCTGCCGAAAATGAAGCCCCTTCAGAAGAACACTGTTTCTTTGCGAAATGTCCATCCAAAAGTTAAACAGCTGCATCATATGTGTGTGCTTCCCCTAGCATTTGGAAGATGCGCAGGCCCTCGGCGCCGAGACAGTGGAGATGAATGGCTCTTTTCCTCTCAGGGCTAACCACATCCACTCCGGTAGCTAGCATGTACGTCTCAAACGACAACTTCCATCTTTCCCATGGGATTGTTGATTCGCCCGCGTGAGGCAAGAACTGCTCCGGTGGAGGTAGGGATATTGTAGAAATACTTTCAGCCATCCTCGTTCGCCAAATGTTATGTTAAAAAAAAAAAAAACACCTGTTCTCAGTTGAAGCTGAAGTTTATCTCAACAAGTAGCATCTCAAAATACAACGGAAATAGAACCAGAAAATCACCTAGTCATTTCCAATAAAAATCTATTGAAATTGACAATACACAAAAGTGAAATAAACACAAAACAATTTACAGTAAACCTTACACTCACAACTGTTCCAAAATAATAAAGAAATTTCAATCATTGCATTGTAATGATGTGCAAATAGTTAAAGTACAAAAGGGGAAATAAATAAACATAAATATAGGTTGTATTTACAATGCTGTTTGTTGTTCACTGGTTTCCCTTTTCTTGTGGCAACGGTCACAAATCTTGCTGCTGCTCTCTCTCTCTTTCCCCCTCTTCCCCTTGTTCCCTCTCTCTGTAAGCGGTTCCTTATCTCTATTTATGATCACCAGATCTGCTCCTCTCTCCAAACAGTCCTCTCTGCTCTCCTTCCAGGTTTTAGTCTCAGTAAACAGGAAGTACCAACTGGATTCAAACTTCTGCCAGCCTTCAGGACAAGTTTGTTCTACAAGATGAAACATGAATTTCTTTCAACTTATCACACTGGACACTTAATAAAATCATACAGACAAACAATAAAGTGTGTGGGATTAATAATATTTTATTACTGTAGGTTTACTCACTGCAATTGGTAAGCCTCCTGCTAATAAAATCTCTCTCAGTCTGTATCTGGTCTTTCTCTTTAGTCAGGGTGTTGTAACTGCTCTGTAGCTTATCTCTCTCTTCAGTTAGGTTGTTGAAGCTGGTCTGTAGCTGGTCTCTCTCCTCAGTAAGGGTGTTGTAACTGGTCTGTAGCTGGTCTCTCTCTTCAGTTAGGTTGTTGTAACTGGTCTGTAGCTGGTCTCTCTCTTTAGTTAGGTAATTGTAGCTGGTCTGTAGCTGGTCTCTCCTCAGTAAGGTTGTTGTAACTGGTCTGTAGCTGGCCTCTCTCTTTAGTCAGGTTGTTGTACCAGGTCTGTAGCTTATCTCTCTCTTCAGTTAGGTTGTTGTACCTGGTCTGTAGCTGGTCTCTCTCCTCAGTAAGGGTGTTGTAATAGGTCTGTAGCTGGTCTCTCTCTTCTGTTAGGTTGATGTAGCTGGTCTGTAGCTGGTCTCTCTCCTCAGTAAGGGTGTTGTAACTGGTCTGTAGCTGTTCTCTCTCTTCAGGTAGTTTGTTGTAGCTGGTCTGTAGCTGGTCTCTCTCCTCAATAAGGGTGTTGTAACTGATCTGTAGCTGGTCTCTCTCTTCAGTTAAGTTGTTGTAGCTGGTCTGTAGCTGGTCTCTCTCCTCAGTAAGGGTGTTGTAACTGGTCTGTAGCTGGTCTTTCTCCCCAGTAAGGGTGTTGTAACTGGTCTGTAGCTGGTCTCTCTCCTCAGTAAGTGTGTTGTAACTGGTCTGTAGCTGATCTCTCTCCCCAGTAAGGGTGTTGTAACTGGTCTGTAGCTGGTCTCTCTCCCCAGTAAGGGTGTTGTAACTGGTCTGTAGCTGGTCTCTCTCCTCAGTAAGTGTGTTGTAACTGGCCTGTAGCTGGTCTCTCTCCTCAGTAAGGGTGTTGTAACTGGTCTGTAGCTGGCCTTACTGCAGATGTGTCATGGTGCTGATCTCACCGTTCCCACAGGGTGTCTGTCTCTCAGGGTGTCTGTGCCTCAGGGTGTCTGTCCCCCAGGGTGTCTGTCCCTCAGTGTGTCTGTCCCTCAGGGTGTCTGTCCCTCAGGGTGTCTGTCCCTCAGGGTGTCTGTCTCTCAGGGTGTCTGTCTCTCAGGGTGTCTGTCTCTCAGGGTGTCTGTCTCTCAGGGTGTCTGTCTCTCAGGGTGTCTGTACTGATGTAGATATCAACAATCCTCTCCTCCATCTCACATCTGTCAAACCTACTTGGTCATATAAGGCTTGGCCTAGATGGCCTCAGAAATCTTCAACAATGTTTTCTGACTATAGTTACGGTGACTTAAAGCAGTCTTTCCCAAACTCGGTCCTGGGGCCCCACTGGGTGCACTTTTAGTTTTTTGCCTTAGCATTACACAGCTGATTCAAATAACCAACTCATTATCAAGCTTTGATGATTTGAATCAGCTGTGTAGTGCAAGGGCAAAAACCAAAACGTGCACACAGGGGGGACAACAGGACCGAGCTTGGGAAACCCTGCCTTAAAGTACCTAAGGCAAATCCACTGGTTCTGGAGAGTATCTCTGCCCTGTATCTGTGTCTGAAGCTGACTGCTTTGGATCCTGTTGTAGGTGGGGGTTATCCCCAGCACACAGGAACTATCAAATATCAAAAGAGGAAGATAGCAACAACAACATTTACATGAATTTGTGGAACCGAAAAATGTCCTGGCTGTTTATAGTTGGGTCACTTTCTTCTTCTTTTCACATTTTTATCTGATTCCTGAGTAACTTCCTGGTCTACTGGGGGAAGTTCCACCCACATACCCCAGGTAAACACACCCTCTTATATGGTCTCTTACTGCTCTATATCACTGATTAACATATTGGATGTATACATCTCAACAATGTCTCTGGATGTTTAAAAAAATAAATAAATAACCAGACCTGAGTTATTTGAAATCTGTCAAATACTTTGAGCGTTGGGACTATTCTATTGGTTCCATTAAGCCAGGCAAGCTCAACCAAGCACAGCTAAAGTATTTGGGTCGTTTTCATTAGGCACCAAATGGAAGAAAGCAAACTGAAACAGGGAGGGACTAACTATTCCTGTCCAATAAGAATAACGTGTTTTCATTTGACGTTGTAAAACATTTAGCTACGGTGTGCCCTAATGAATACATGACCCAGGTCTGCTAATATCCACCAACCACTGACAGACAGACAGACACACAGGAAGCTGTTATTAAAGGAAGTCATTATTTATATTGTATGCAGGCCTTACACACTGCATCTGTCCTAAAAACACAAGCCACTTTTCATCCATGGATATAATGTACAACAGGACATCTGTAAAGAAAAAGGCTTAATTTTAAAATTCATGAACCTAATTCTATTTAATGATATATTTATAATCTGTTCAGTTTCTGAATTAGTTAAAATTAGGTGAAAGTTAGGGTTAAGGTAAGGGTCAGTTTTAGGTTTTGTCTGAAATCTGCTTGTCAATGGGATGCTGGTCAGAAAAGTCCCTCATGTTGGGTATAATACCTACTTTTATAAGTGTTTGTCTCCCCCTACTGGCTGTTTTCTACAAGCTCAGTTTCTTCCTTCTATTACTGTAACCTTGACCCATAGAGATAGATAGAGGACTCATCTTTATATCTGTACCCTTATAGGGTCTGTGACAGTATGGGTAGCACCATGGAGGCTACAACCAATAGGAAAACCCACCCAGTTGACTACTTTGACTACTTTAAAATGGTGGAAGGATGGAGGAAGCCCAGGTTTTCTTCTCAGTGGAGAGGAAGTAGAAACTGGAATCAAAGTATCTCCATTCATCTTGACAATACTGCTCTGTTGAAGAGCAAAGGTGAACACATTGAGAAATTTAGCCAGTATCTTTATACTCACAAACCCATTGATATATAATTACTGTTGATTTTACTTCCAGTTAATCACCTATCACAAAAAGCTTTGCCTGAAGATGGCCTCTCTCTTCAGTCAGGTTGTTGTAACTGGTCTGTAACAGAGGAGGAACTTAGCTAATGTACACAGATTACATCTGAATATAGGACCTTGTTGTGAAAGTCTGATATAGTGTAATGATTAGATAACAATACACTCCCAGACTAGTCTCAGGGAGATGTTGAGAGTGACTTGTAGAACACACAGCATCCCAAAGCTCACAGCACCCATCCTGTAGAGTCTTCTCCCTGAATCCTCAGGTCCTGAGGAGATACACACTGATGTAAGAACATACACACACATCCCCACACACACAGATGTGCACATGCACGCACACACACACATACCCACACACAATTACATGCACGTTCACACACACAAACACACACACACATGTATGAGAGGGTGTGGGTGTGACATCATCAGCCACAATAGGAGCCAATCCATTCTTAATGATGATGTGACGACCCTCCCACTCTGTCTGCCGTATTCTCTCTCTTTGCTCTTGTTTCCTTATTAGGATGCCGGTGGGCGGAGTTGGGAGGGTCGTCAGCTACATGGGAAACACCTGGGCCCGGGTGTGTCCCAGGATAAATGGACCTCTTCCACATTCATTGGGGGAACTCTCTCCATGCAGACACCTTTATTGATGTTTGTTGTGGTATTTTTGTGGCTTTTTGGTTGTTTGCTTTGGCACCTTTCAACACCTTGCATTATTATGCACTCACTTACATTACTGATTACACACACCATTGTTAATTGTACTTAGTTTACTTTAGTTAATAAATATATATTTTGGTATTCCTTGTCTCCACGTTGTCTCCCTTTTGTTACGAACTTTGAGCCGGTTCATGACGATGATAACTTATAAATGCCTCATGAGCTTAGTTAGTTCAACAGTCGTACCCCATCAGAACCCAAAATATACGCTTTTTTACTCCATTGTTTGTAAACAATGATATTGTAAACAAACTGTATGTATAGCCTCAAAACATGGTTAAAAGTATCATGTTGATCTGATGGATGATCAGTTGATGCATCCATAGCTCTGTCTATGAATTTGAGAGTGGTTACATTTCTCCAGCCCCATTCCTCAGCCTTTTACCAAATCAGTGGCTGGTTGACCGCTTTGTTTAGGTTGAACAGCAGATTGCCTCTTTAATAACTCTAAATACCCTTAAAGCGTACATCTATTTGCATAATTGACTTGCTATCAGTTAGCATTTTTCAGTGTTTTGGTCAAGTGTTTGTGTAAGTGTGTTTGTGTGCGTGTGCGTGCATGTGTGTGTGCAATCTGCCTGAGGCCCAGTGATTGCGTTTTATCACAGAGGTGCTTCAATCTCTGTGATAGAGAGCTTTCTTAGTTACTGTATGATTACCTTTCTAACTGACTCTGTATGATTATCTTTCTAACTGACTCCTAATTGAAATATCTACTGTATGATTACCTTTCTAACTGACTCCTAATGGTAATATCTACTGTATGATTACCTTTCTAACTGACTCCTAATGGTAATATCTACTGTATGATTACCTTTCTAACTGACTCCTAATGGTAATATCTACTGTATGATTACCTTTCTAACTGACCCCTAATGGTAATATCTACTGTATGATTACCTTTCTAACTGACCCCTAATGGTAATATCTACTGTATGATTACCTTTCTAACTGACCCCTAATGGTAATATCTACTGTATGATTACCTTTCTAACTGACTCCTAATGATAATATCTACTGTATGATTACCTTTCTAACTGACTCCTAATGGTAATATCTACTGTATGATTACCTTTCTAACTGACCCCTAATGTTAATATCTACTGTATGATTACCTTTCTAACTGACTCCTAATGGTAATATCTACTGTATGATTACCTTTCTAACTGACTCCTAATGGTAATATCTACTGTATGATTACCTTTCAAACTGACTCCTAATGGTAATATCTACTGAATGATTACCTTTCTAACTGACTCCTAATGGTAATATCTACTATATGATTCTAACTGTACTGACAAGTAGTTGAGAAGTTGGTCTAATGTGCTTCTCCACCAGGTACCTTTTATCTCTGTCTGTGGTCCACTACAGTTGATAGAACGTTTTAAGGGTCCAATCAACTTGTAGCAGGAAGTTATACTCTGTAAGGTTATACTGTTAGTGGCATCGTTCATAAGGAAGTCATGTGATGGCTTGCGCTCGATGGCCATATAGGCATCAGTGTGAAGAGTTATTGAGAAGTGTGTGTGGGAAATGTGACCTAAGTGTCTAAGTGCACACTTCAAGTGCACACTTCAGGAGAAGGAAGGATGGAGAAGAGGGATGCAGTCCTAGTGACTGAGTTGACTACTTTCCACACTCAGAGAGCCTCTTCTCCAGCTCTACCTTCTCATTGGTCAGAACACTGACCCTGACCCTCTCCCCCTCAGTAACTGGTCTCTCTCCCTCAGTAACTGGTCTCTCTCCCTCAGTAACTGGTCTCTCCCCCTCAGTAACTGGTCTCTCTCCCTCAGTAACTGGTCTCTCTCCCTCAGTAACTGGTCTCTGTCCCTCAGTAACTGGTCTCTGTCCCTCAGTAACTGGTCTCTCTCCCTCAGTAACTGGTCTCTGTCCCTCAGTAACTAGTCTCTCTCCCTCAATAACTGGCCTCTGTCCCTCAGTAACTGGTCTCTCTCCCTCAGTAACTGGTCTCTGTCCCTCAGTAACTGGTCTCTCTCCCTCAGTAACTGGTCTCTGTCCCTCAGTAACTGGTCTCTGTCCCTCAGTAACTGGTCTCTGTCCCTCAGTAACTGGTCTCTGTCCCTCAGTAACTGGTCTCTGTCCCTCAGTAACTGGTCTCTCTCCCTCAATAACTGGTCTCTGTCCCTCAGTAACTGGTCTCTGTCCCTCAGTAACTGGTCTCTCTCCCTCAGTAACCGGTCTCTCTCCCTCAGTAACTGGTCTCTCTTCCTCTGTAACTGGTCTCTTTCCCTCAGTAACTGGTCTCTCTCCCTCAGTAACTGGTCTCTGTCCCTCAGTAACTGGTCTCTCTCCCTCAGTAACTGGTCTCTCTCCCTCTGTAACTGGTCTCTCTCCCTCAGTAACTGGTCTCTCTCCCTCAGTAACTGGTCTCTCTCCCTCAGTAACTGGTCTCTCTCCCTCAGTAACTGGTCTCTCTCCCTCAGTAACTGGTCTCTCTCCCTCAGTAACTGGTCTCTCTCCCTCTGTAACTGTTCTCTCTCACTCAGTAACTGGTCTCTCTCACTCTGTAATTGGTCTCTCCCTCAGTAACTGGTCTCTCTCCCTCAGTAACTGGTCACTCTCTGTAACTGGTCTCTCTTCATCAGTAACTGATCTCTGTCCCTCAGGAACTGGTCTCTCTCCCTCTGTAACTGGTCTCTCTCCATCAGGAACTGTTCTATCCCTTTCTCTAGCTGGTTTCTGTTCTGCCGGCACTGGACTCTCTCCTTCAGCAGCTGGTCTCTCTCTGTACACAGGTCAGTGATACCACTACTGGTATCTGGCTGGTCTCTGTCTTGTGCCAGGCCGGTTGTGTTGTAACAGGCCTCTAATTGGTCTCTCTCTTTAGTGGAGCAGGCTAAAATAATAAATATGGAGTCAGTGATGTTTCCCCTAGACGCTGATCTTGGGTCAGTTTTGCATTTCCCCCACTAAATGGTTAAGGTTAGGATTGGGGGAGGGAAGTTGATCCTAGATCTCAATTCTCTATGGACGTTGTCTACTATTTTTGTTTTTGTTTCAAACTACAGGTGCCATTAGCTATGTAATGTCAAGTCTCATCTGTAACAGGTCTCTTGTCATACTTGCTGTAGTGAGATAATTAAATAGAGGCTATGTCCCAAATTGCACCCTAATCCTGGCAGCCTATTCTGGTCAAAAGTAGTGCACTAAAGGGAAATAGGGCATAGTCGCCTGTAGCTCAGTTGTTAGAGCGTGGCGCTTGCAATGCCAGGGTTGTGGGTTCGTTTCCCACGGGGGGTCAGTATGAAAATGTATGCACTCACTAACTGTAACTCGCTCTGGATAAGAGCGTCTGCTAAATTACTAAAATGTAAAAAATGTACAATTTGGGATACAGTCTCACTCACAAAAAGCCAGCCTCATAGAGATGTTGAGAGTGACTTGTAGAACACACAGCACCCAGCCTGTAGAGTCTTGATTAAACATTTTTTAAAATCCATTTTAGAATAAGGCTGTAACGGAACAACATTTGGAAAAAGTCAAGGGGTCTGAATACTTTCCGAATGCGCTGTATATTCATATATATCACTCAATAGCCATTGTCAATGTTAAGATTTATAGTTCACTATGTCGCAATTCATGTAGGCTGTACATAAATCTCTCTCTCTCTCTCTCTCTCTCTCTCTCTCTCTCTCTCTTTATTTGGTCGGCTAGCAGTGATGTTGATGGTTGGATACAGTACTGAATGAAAGTAACCTTCCAAAAACATTCAAATAGAAAGAAAGATGTCACGGAAGAGAATGAACAGGGGATGGAGAGGACATCACATACAACTGTCTGGTCTACAAGCTTGCGTCCCTAAGGACACCCTATTTCCCTATGTAGTGCACTATATAGAGAATATGGTGCCATTTGGGACACATATCAAGTCTCCTTCTTATTGGTGGATAGAGCCTTGAAACATCCTGTCACCTGCTGTGGGCCACAGACAGAGAACAGAGAGGGAGCGGGTGGATACCCCATTAGACACCATGCATGAGTGAGTGGGTATGTAGCAGGCAGCTCCACAGGTGCAATTGCCATTGGTCACCTACACGTTGTCCCTTGTACAGTCAAGGTTGGGAGTCATTGGTTTGTTTGTGTGTGTGTGTGTGTGTGTGTGTGTGTGTGTGTGTGTGTGTGTGTGTGTGCACTCTCAGTACTGTTTTTCACTCTGTGTGTGTCCAGGTCACACTGTTTTAAGTATCCAATCACATTCAATCAGGAAGCTGGTAGACCTTGTTAAAGAACATTGTTCCTTTATTTATTACTATGTGACTTTGTTATTCTTATTATTAATGTGATAAGCAGGTTAATAATTGGTCCCACTTTTTTTTGTACGAAGCATAAGCCTATTGTCACGGTTTCGGCCGAGACTGCTCCTCCTCCTGGTTCGGGCAGGCTTCGGCGTTCGCCGTCCCCGGAGTACTAGCTGCCACCGCTGTTTCTGCATTTGATTGCTTTTGTCTGTCTGTATCACCTGTGTCCATTTGTGTCTTGATTACGTGTCCTATAAGTTCCTTGTTTTGTTCTAGTAATTTTGTGTGTTGTTGTTTCCTGCCACAGTATCGGAGCTACGTGTTTGCTCCCGTTTTGTTTTGTATCTTAGTGTTTACGCGTATGCGTAATTGTTCCCTCGCCTCGTTGCTTGTTTTTGAGGTCGGAGGTTTTCCTCTTACTTGTGACTATTAAAGTCTGTTGGACTTTACCTCTGTGTCCTGCGCCTGACTCCTCCACCACATCCACATCGGTATTGTGACAGAACAACACACCTCCATGGAGTCAGCAGGAACAGCGGCGGCACCCGGATCCCTGGAAGACCGGATCAACTACCAGGACACCATGATCCGGCAACTCGGGGCCGCCATGGACGAGGTGTCCAACACGCTGCGCCGATTGGTGAATCGAGAGGTGCCCATGCCTTCTCACACCATCCCATCACCAACGGCCAGTCCTCCTCTCTCAGCACCGGAACCCAGTGGCATTCGGCTCTCGCTCCCGAGGGCATATGACGGTTCTGCAGCCGGGTGTCAGGGCTTCCTCCTGCAGGTGGAACTTTACCTTGCCACCATACACCCGGCGCCCTCGGGATACGAGAGCGTCTCCGCCCTCATCTCCTGTCTATCCGGCAAGGCGTTGGAGTGGGCCAACGCCGAATGGAGGGGAATAGACGCCGCAACCATCACCTACGCGGAGTTCTCCCGCCGCTTCAGGGCTGTCTTCGATCATCCACCTGAGGGGAAAGCGGCGGGAGAGCGTCTATTCCACCTCCGACAGGGGAAGAGGAGCGCACAGGAGTTCGCACTGGAGTTCCGGACACTAGCGGCGGATGCGGGGTGGAATGAGAGGGCCCTCATCGACCACTACCGGTGTAGCCTACGAGAGGACGTTCGTCGTGAGCTGGCCTGCAGGGACACCAACCTGTCGTTCGACCAGTTGGTGGACATCTCCATCCGTCTAGACACCCTGCTGGCTACCCGCGGACGTCCCGAGTGGGGGTCGTCCATTCCACCCTCCAGCACCTCCGAGCCGATTCCCATGGAGCTCGGGGGTGCTGGCGCTAGAGAGAGGAGGAGAGGGAACCCGAGGGAGGTCATCCCCTGCACCACCTGTGGTCGTGGAGGACACACCGCGGCCAGGTGCTGGGGAGGGTCTCCTGGGAGAGGTGACAACAGGCCACGCACTGGGGTGTCATTTCAGGTGAGTAGGCACCCCACTTACCCAGAGCTTTCTGTTGGTCACATGAGTATTCCTGTGAGATTTCCACAGGTGGCACCTCATTCCCAGCATAAGGCGCTAGTCGATTCAGGCGCAGCTGGGAACTTTATTGATCGGGCATTTTGTTGTAGGTTAGGAATTCCCCTTCGGCCGGTAGAAGCTCCATTCCCTGTCCACGCATTAGACAGCCGGCCGTTGGGGTCGGGTCTGATCAGGGATGTCACAGCACCGCTGACGATGACGACGCAGGGGGGTCATGAGGAGATTATTCAGTTTTATCTGATTGACTCTCCTGCGTACCCAGTGGTGTTGGGCCTTCCCTGGTTAAGCACCCATGATCCTACCATAGCGTGGCAACAGAGGGCTCTTATGGAGTGGTCTGCCCAGTGTGTAGGGAGATGTCTAGGTGTTTCCATAGGGGCGACCTCGGTAGAGAGTCCGAACCAAGTGCCCGCACTGCGCATTCCCCCTGAGTATGAGGATTTAGCACTCGTGTTTAGCAAATCGAGGGCAACACGGCTACCTCCTCATAGACAAGGGGACTGTGCGATAAATCTCCAGACAGGAGCAGCTCTTCCCCGGAGTCATGTGTATCCCCTGTCTCAAGAGGAAACAGCGGCTATGGAGACTTGGCACAGGGATACATACGGTCCTCCACTTCCCCGGTCTCCTCGAGTTTCTTCTTTGTGAAGAAGAAGGACGGGGGATTGCGCCCGTGTATTGATTACCGTAGTCTCAATCAGATCACAGTGAAATACAGTTACCCACTTCCACTGATTGCGACGATGACGGAGTCATTACGTGGAGCGTGGTTCTTCAAAAAGTTGGATCTCAGGAGCGCGTACAATCTGGTGCGCATTAGGGAGGGGGATGAATGGAAAACAGCATTTAGCACCACCTCGGGTCATTACGAGTATCTCGTCATGCCATACGGGTTAATGAATGCTCCTTCAGTCTTCCAATCCTTTGTTGACGAGATTTTCCGGGACATGCATGGGCAGGGTGTAGTAGTGTACATCGACGACATCCTAGTGTATTCTTCTACACGAGCCGAGCATGTAGCCCAGGTGCGCCGAGTGTTGAGAAGACTGTTGGAGCATGACTTGTATGTCAAGGCAGAGAAATGCCTGTTCTTCCAGGAGTCCGTCTCCTTTTTGGGTTATCGGTTGTCCGCGTCTGGCGTGGAGATAGAGGTAGACCGGGTATCGGCCGTGCGTAATTGGCAAACTCCAACAACTGTAAAAGAGGTGCAGCAGTTCTTGGGTTTTGCTAATTACTACCGGAGGTTTATTCGGGGTTTTGGACAGGTTGCAGCTCCCATTACGTCCCTGCTAAAGGGGGGTCCGGTTCGTTTGCAGTGGTCGGCTGAGGCGGACAGGGCATTTGTCAAACTAAAGAACCTGTTCACCTCGGCTCCTGTGCTGGCACATCCGGATCCCTCTTTACCATTCCAAGTAGAGGTAGACGCATCCGAGACCGGTATTGGGGCAGTTCTATCACAACGGTCCGGCACGCCACCTAAACTCCGCCCCTGTGCGTTCTACTCCAAGAAGCTCAGCTCGGCGGAGCGTAACTATGATGTTGGGGACAGGGAGCTGTTAGCCGTAGTCCAGGCCCTAAAGGTGTGGAGGCATTGGCTTGAGGGGGCTCAACACCCTTTCCTCATTCTGACTGATCACTGTAACCTGGAGTACATCCGGGCAGCTAGGAGATTGAACCCTCGTCAGGCTAGGTGGAACATGTTCCTAACCCGGTTCGTTTTTAAGATCACATACATCCCTGGGTCCCAGAATGGTAAGGCAGACGCCCTGTCCCGGCGGTATGACACAGAGGAGAGGTCCAACGAGCCTACTTCCATACTGCCGGAGTCTTGTTTGGTGGCTCCGGTGGTATGGGAGGTCGATGCGGAAATCGAGCGGGCACTGCGTACCGACCCTACTCCCCCCGAGTGTCCTGTGGGGCGGACGTACGTTCCGCTCGAGATTCGTGATCGACTTATTTATTGGGCTCATATATCACCCTCCTCTGGACATCCAGGTATTGGCCGGACCATGCACTGTCTTAGCATGAAATACTGGTGGCCAACGTTAGCTAGGGATGTGAGGGTTTATGTCTCCTCCTGCTCGGTGTGTGCCCAGTGTAAGGCGCCTAGACATTTGCCCAGGGGTAAGCTACATCCCCTGCCCGTTCCACAACGACCATGGTCCCACCTATCGGTGGATTTCGTAACCGACCTTCCCCCCTCCCAGGGGAATACCACCATTTTGGTCGTTGTGGATCGGTTTTCCAAGGCCTGTCGTCTCCTTCCCATGCCGGGTCTCCCTACTGCCCTACAAACCGCTGAGGCCCTATTTACCCATGTTTTCCGGCACTATGGGGTCCCCGAGGATATAGTGTCTGACCGAGGTCCCCAGTTCACCTCCAGAGTTTGGGGGGCGTTCATGGAACGGTTGGGGGTCTCGGTGAGCCTTACCTCGGGGTACCACCCAGAGAGCAATGGGCAGGTGGAACGTGTCAACCAGGATGTGGGTAGTTTTTTGAGGTCCTATTGCCGGGACCGGCCGGAGGAGTGGTCTAGGTTCATCCCCTGGGCAGAGATGGCCCAGAACTCTCTCCGCCACTCCTCCACCAATTTAACACCTTTCCAGTGTGTTTTAGGTTATCAGCCGGTCCTGGCACCATGGCACGAGAGCCAGATCGAGGCCCCTGCGGTGGACGAGTGGATTCGGCGCTCGGAGGAGACGTGGGACGCTGCCCATGTCCATCTGCAGCGTGCCATCCGTCAACAAAAGGCGAGCGCCGACCGCCACCGCAGTGAGGGACCGGTGTACGCACCGGGAGATCGAGTCTTGGTCTCGACTCGAAACCTGCCCCTCCGCCTGCCCTGCCGGAAGCTGGGTCGGCGGTTTGTGGGGCCCTTCAAAGTCCTGAGAAGATTGAACGAGGTGTGTTACAGGTTACAACTGCATATAGAGTATAAAAATATTAACCCCTCGTTCCATGTGTCTCTTCTCAGGCCGGTGGTAGCTGGCCCACTCCAAGAAGATGAGATAGGAGAGACCCCTCCGCCCCCTTTGGACATCGAGGGGGCCCCGGCGTACAGGGTCCGGACCATCTTGGACTCGAGGCGCCGGATGAGTGGTCTCCAGTATCTCGTGGAGTGGGAGGGGTACGGTCCGGAGGAACGGTGCTGGGTGCCCAGGAGGGACATACTCGATCCATCCCTCCTGACTGAGTTTCACCATGGGCATCCCACGCGCCCGGGTCCGCGTCCTCCTGGCCGTCCCCGAGGCCGGGGTCGGCGCACGGCTGGGGCCGCGCGTCAAGGGTGGGGTACTGTCACGGTTTCGGCCGAGACTGCTCCTCCTCCTGGTTCGGGCAGGCTTCGGCGTTCGCCGTCCCCGGAGTACTAGCTGCCACCGCTCTATGTTTCTGCATTTGATTTCTTTTGTCTGTCTGTATCACCTGTGTCCATTTGTGTCTTGATTACGTGTCCTATAAGTTCCTTGTTTTGTTCTAGTAATTTTGTGTGTTGTTGTTTCCTGCCACAGTATCGGAGCTACGTGTTTGCTCCCGTTTTGTTTTGTATCTTAGTGTTTACGCGTATGCGTAATTGTTCCCTCGCCTCGTTGTTTGTTTTTGAGGTCGGAGGTTTTCCTCTTACTTGTGACTATTAAAGTCTGTTGGACTTTACCTCTGTGTCCTGCGCCTGACTCCTCCACCACATCCACATCGGTATTGTGACACCTATGTCAAATCACATGACATGTTGGTAATAAAATAATGAAGAGTCATTTTCCAGAGCACAGTATGTCTACATCCTCTCCTCTAAATCTAAACACAACTATTATTTGTCTTATTTTTTCTCTCTTCCTCATTCTCTTAATTTTCTTCTTCCTCCTGTATGTCTCTCTGACACTAAGGCTCTATCTCAATTAGTCTTTCCTAGATTATTCTCCTCCTATCTCCTCTCTTCCTATCTCCTCTCTTCCTATCTCCTCTCATCCTATCTCCTCTCCTCTTATCTCCTCTCCCCCTATCTCCTCTTCTCCTATCTCCTCTCCTCCTATCTCCTCTCCTCCTATCTCCTCTCCTCCTATCTCCTCTCCTCCTATCTCCTCTCCTCTTATCTCCTCTCCCCCTATCTCCTCTCCTCCTATCTCCTCTCTTCCTATCTCCTCTCCTCCCATCTCCTCTCCTCCTTTCAACCCTATTAGAGGAGAAGGTCCAAGGTCACTCCCATAGGATTGTATTCTCCAATGTGTTTTGAGACAGTCTGTAATACCACTATTTCATCTCCATGGTGAGTTCATCTCTCACTTTAACCACTAGGTGGAATCATCACAACCATTCAGGACCTTATCCAACCTTTAAGATAATAGCTATGAAAGATACTTTCACTTCTTGTCTTTTTGTCTTTGTTTAATGATACATTCTCATTTCATTAAAACCTCATCCCCCACCACCCCCCCCAAAAAAAAAAAATATCCCCTGTACTGCATACTCACCTTGCCCTCTACCCCACGATACAAAACACCACACATCACAATAACCAAAACCTCACCACTTCTACAACCGTATATACAACCCATCTTCCCCAGCTATACAGACTGCCCCCCCCCCCCCCCCAACACACCATATCTCCTGAGACATCGCCACACTTTCATCATTTTATAGAACTCAAATCTCACCCTAAGGCGCGCAGAGACCATCCCATTAAATAATAGTAAAGGGTCTGTTATCCCCCCACCTTTAACCCTGTTCCTCCTTGTTAGCCAAATAGCCAACTTTGCCTGAGCAAACAGAAAATTCAACAACACACATTTGGCCTTCTCCTTATTTGAATACCTGTACACCATTATAAACGTCCCAACAGTAAACTCCACCCCCAACCTCTCACACAGACATTCCAACAGAGACATTAATGGCATTAACCTGGCGCACACAGAAAACACATGAATCACAGTTTCACTCATGACACAAAAGGACACCCCTGTCCAACTCCCGGTTCAACCCGTGCCAACCAGCTGTTAGTGGCCAGGGCTCCATGTAGAACCCTCCACTGGAGGTCCCCTGAACTCTTTGGTGCTGGGAGTTTGTAGAGCCCCCTCCATCTAAAATCCACCATACTCTCCGTCCCACATACTCCCTGCCACTCATGTGCCTTCACTCCTGTTAGGCTCCTAATGTTCCTTAGCTTAATACAGAGGTTGTAGATGGCTTTACCTCCAAACCCCTCAAACTCCCCCATACTCTGAGTGTTAAAATCTAACAAGTCCTCCAGACCCCCTTGCCAGTCCCCAGTCTCTGCCATCTCCTTGAGCATGGAGAACCTAGCTCTTACAAGTGCTCCCTTTGCTTTAACCTGGAAAAAACTGCCCAGGTCCCTACGTAGTTCAGCTAAATTAGCCTGGAGGCCTACATTGCCTTGCCCCACCAGCTCTACATCCATCTCACTAATACTACACTCGAGTTCCCCCAATGCTCTCCTAGCTTCTGAGGATGAGAGAGCTGTATACTGTTGACAAAAAAACAGAATTTGGACTTTTACCACATCCCAACATTGACTCAGAGACTCATACTCCTCTCTTCACTGCCCCCCACCTTCCCAAAACATTATAGAAACCTGAGCAAAAAGAGGAGAAATTGCCACCAACACACTGCTTACAAATATTCCACTAGCAATGAGCTTACCCAACAAATTTGCTCTTTTCATAAACACAACCACAGCTTTGTTCATTCTTGATGCGGAATTTAGAAATTCAGCTCCTACCTGTTCGCCGACCGCAAGCAGAACCTCCTCCACCTTAACTCCATTCTCAGGAACAACCTGAATCCATGCCGTAACGACAGCGTCTCCTCCACGCTAGGCTTCGGAGCCATCACGCACACCACACCGTTCAAACCCCAGGAAACTAAACCTTTGACCTCTTCCTCCCTAACTTGAAAATAATAAACAGTGGGTACCGCTAAAACAAACAGTGCGTTAACCATCCACCATAGAAAAGGAAAATTGAAAGAAAAGACCAAGGAAATAATGAAGAAGAGAAGTCTGTTACTGTGGGTTATTCTTACACCACTTTCTCACAGATCCAGTTATGATTTTTGTCACATTTGTCATCATTCCATGTCTTTACAGCGTCATCTTGTCCATAGTATATCTCAACACAGTCCTCTTGGCCACCATCATCAGGCTGTCCTGCCCCCCAGTACCTAAACACAGAGAACCAGACAGTCAGACACTGAGGTACAAACATCCTCCTCAATTATAGACATAGCCCTATGTTTTCTCAGCTTCAAAGCCACATTCTGTAAGATGAGCATACCATTATCAAGAGTGACCATCAACACACTTAATATTTCACTCTTTAAATTACATTTTCAGATGTAAATATTACCTGGTTTATATAATACATCTATAGTTCTCATTGAATGACATTCGAGTCGAAACATACATTTTTATGAACATGATTGGAAGCAATATATCATTGTTGTTTTTTTTATCTCCAGAATGGTCAAATCTCTCACCCTTTGGTCAATGATGTGCCGTCCACCCACTTCCAGGTCCCCTCAGTAACAGAGTCAGTCAGACCAATCCAGGCTCTCAGTTGGAGATTGAAGAGAAATGTCTGTTTTTGAGAAAGATAAAAAACGGTCACTTTTAATATATTTATAAGATACTGCCCACATATTAGTGTACTGATGAAAATTATACTTGCTCCACTTCTCTCTCTCTCTCTCTCTCTCTCCTCTCTCTCTCTCTCTCTCTCTCTCTCTCTCTCCTCTCTCTCTCTCTCTCTCTCTCTCGCACCTGCTCCTCTCTGCTGTTTATGATCACCAGGTCTGCTCCTCTCTCCAGACAGTCCTGTCTGCTCTCCTCCCAGGTTTTCTTCTCAGTGGAGAGGAAGTACAAACTGGAGTCAAAGTATTTCCATCCCCACTGATAATGCTGCTCTGTTGAAGAGCAAATGTGAACACATTGAGAAACTTAGCCAGTATCTCTATACTCATAAACCCATTGATAAATAATTACTGTTGATTTTACTTCTAATTTATCACAGTTTATATCTCACCTATCACAAAAAGCTTTGCCTGATGATGACCTCTCGCTTTAGTCAGGGTGTTGTATCTGGTCTGTAGCTGGTCTCTCTCAGCAGTCAGGTTATTGTATCTGGTCTGTAGCTGGTCTCTCTCAGCAGTCAGGTTGTTGTATCTGGTCTGTAGCTGGTCTCTCTCTTCAGTTGAGTTGATTTTATAAAGGGAAAATCTCTGGAACAAGTTGTTTCTTTTATCCTCATAATCTTTGATGGCTCTGTTATCTACAAAGTATAAACACATAGTTACTAAGTTAAACACCAGGTAAATAGGCCTAGTAACCAGCACTTCTTACAAGTAGGTGATAAGCTATGAACTTGGACACAAACTCACAGTAGACAGACAGGCCTATGATCCCAGCCAGTAGAACACACAGCAGCCCCAGACACACTGCAGCAACTAGGAAGGGTCTCTTCCCTGAGCTATCAGGCTCTGTGGACACATACAAGAGACGTTTACGTTTGTGTGTGTGTGAGTATGTGTGTGTATGTGTGTGTGTGTGGTGTGTGTGTGTGTGTGTGTGTGTGTGTGTGTGTGTGTGTGTGTGTGTGTGTGTGTGTGTGTGTGTGTGTGTGTGTGGTGTGTGTGTTGTGTTGTGGTTACCTGAGTACTGGTCTCCTGGTCCATTATTCGGAGCAGTGTCTGCTGTCTCTCTCTCTTGTGCTGGTCTCACCGTCTCTCAGGGTGTCTGCACTGACATATATATCCACAATCCTCTCCTCCATCTCACCTCTGTCAAACTTGACCTTCTCGGTCATATCTGGCTCAGCATAGAATGGCCTCAGACATCTCCATCCACTGTTTGTGTTTTTCAGTCTATTCTCAGTTTCTGTCCTAATCGTTTGCCCCTGTGTCTGTCTCTGTGCCTTCACAAATGTACTAAATTCATGTTGACCTCTGATGATGTGTGAAACATAACTACTGGTACACAGGAAACTACAAACAGGAAATAAGTAGGACTCATTGTGGGAGAGAGAGAGAGACAGAGAGAGAGAGAGAGGAGAGAGAGAGAGAAGAGAGAGAGAGAGCAGAGAGAGAGACGATAGGAGAGAGAGAGAGAGAGAGAGAATGAAGGAGGAAGTTGTGTGCACTGTATGCTACTGTATTGTTACAGTATGTTGTCATGGTGGATGTTAAACCACTTTCTCACAAATCCAGTTGAGTTTGCTGTCACATGACAAGTCATTCCATGCCTTTAGAGGATGCTGATCGTTGTGTATCTCAGCACAGTCCTCCTCCCCAGTAGGACCTGCATTATCAGGCTGTTGATCATACCAGTACCTACAGGGTTAAAAACCCAGAGAGAGAAGATGTGGCTGTCAGAGTGAGATTGGAGGGAGGGAGGGAGGGAGGAAGGGAGGGATGGAGGAGAAGGTGGGAATAGGGAGAGGGGATAGATAGAGAGAGAGCGAGAGAGCTTAGTCAGACAACTGATGTAGCTGATAACAACTGGTAACTTACAGCAACCAATTCCCTTCAAATCAGTGGCTGTGAGGGAGAGATGATATGAGAAAAGGAGGCCATTTTAGAGTTTAGAAACAAGACCCTTACCTTGCTGACAACAGAGAGACGCAGGAATGCGTTGTTCAAGTATGCAGCTCCAGCGGCCTCGGCCTCGATGGTCAGGGTGGCGTCCGTTCCTGACTGGGTGCTGGCGGGCGTCAGGAGGCTCACCGTACCGTTGGCCGCGCAGCCCCCAGTCACCATGGAGATGATGGCAGGGAAGAGGAAGTGAAGCTGTGATCGTTGGTGGCTCGGACGGTAAAGGTTGCTGCGGTTCAGTTGGCCGTTTCCACGGTGAAGGGGACGGAAATGGTAGAAGTCTATGTCTGCATCTTAATCAGAAGTTTTAAAGGGGAACTTTAAATATGTTTGTGTGTGCGTGTGTCCGTGTGTGTTTACGTGTTAAAGTTAAAGATGCACAAATATCATACCACCTCAAAAATGCTAACCTCCCATGTTATTGTAATGGTGAGAGGTTAGCGTGTCTTGGGGGTATGATATTTGTGAGTCTGTAACTTTCTTACTCATCATTATTCACAATTCATTCAGGACTATCTGTAATCATGGTAGCATCCACATTTATGTAGAAGTGTTTAGAAACATATTATATACTTATTTCCAATAAAAGTGACTCCAAAATGACACAATTTATTATTTACCATTAATTTCTATTGGGCACAAAATAATCTGAAACACAACCAAAACAAACAGCAAATGCATCCAACAATTTTGTAGAGTCACATGATCTAATCATTGCGTGCTAGTAATATGGGACCAAATACTAATCTTTTGACTACTTTAATATATATAAGTGAATTTGTCCCAATACTTTTGGTCCCCTAAAATGGGGGGACTATGTACAAAAAGTGCTTTCATTTCTAAACGGTTGTCAGAGTGGTGTGTGTGGATGAGTGGAAGGAATCAAGCGCAGGAACCAGGATGACTTCAAACGTCTTTAGTAATGTTCCAAAACACGTGAACAAAATGAGTCGCCAACCCAACCGGGTGGCGCAAACAATTACGCACAAACACAGTGCGAATACACAAGAAAAGCGCACGCAGTTCCCTCTAACTGATTGCATTTCGGAACATTCGCGCTTATAGCCTACTGTCGTGTGTGCATTGCTGCGCTTATAATATGAACAAATAGCCTAATAGTTTATCAACATTTTAAGCTAAGCGTTCTGATCTGTTGCATCAGCCTCATTGCTTTTTAAAGTTGTTTTGATGCGAGTGGTTGTATTAATTTGGGATCTATCGCATCCCACAACTGTCCCAGAGTATGTTTGGAATATTTATTTATTGCGCAGAAGGACAAGTTGACCAATAGAATAGGTCAACTTTTGTACTATGGGTGATAGTAGATGGACATGGGCTAGTGTTTTTGCTGTTCTCATCTTGTTGGCTGACGAAAAGTAGGCTAAATGTGGACAGTTCTAACATCTTCAATATGCGCCTCAGAATTCGATAAGAGGGACGCGTGCAGTTGCGTCCCCGATGTGTCTGACTTCATTCACTTGTAGCCTACTTCTTAACTGTTTCTATGTTAACCACTCAACACAGAATAGCTGCATGTGCTCACTCCCTCAAATCGTTTGGAGAAAATATCCTTTCTATTTTATTAAGTATGTTCAATTGTATTCGTCATACTATAAAATAATAAACAAATCAAATCTTGTCTGCTAAATGAACTAGTGTAGCCCACAGCCATATGGCATAGCCACATCAGGGCCTAACATAAGGACAACTCAGAGTATGCTATTCTGTTCTTCTGAAATAGACTACATTTTCATCATATCATGTTTCTTTAGACCTTTAGACCTAAAATTAATAATGGATTCATTGTGACGGTGTAGGCTATATTAAATGGATTTATTAGACGTTTAAAATGTAGATGTTCCAAAGGTCTGCATCAGTGGCTTGTAGGCGACGCGTGGAAGCCAGGAGATGCTAAAAGTGTTTATGTTAATTAACGGTCAATTACCGTGAGACCTGCAGTTATTTGCTTGACCAATCAACAGCTGACTAAATGTAATGACCGCTACAGCCCTAGTCCTTGCACCAATAGTCCAGCCCCATTCCTCAGTTGTTTACCAAGTCAGTGGCGGGGTGAACGCTTTGTTTATGTTTGAAGTGCATATTGCCGCTTTAATACTTCTGAATATGTGTGTGAGAGAGCTTTCTTAGTTGTTACCTGAGTGATGGGTCTCAGTCTTCACTCTCCTCGTTGCTCTGTTCTCATTTTCTTCAGTTACCTGGTTGTTGATGTAGTCATCCATCTGACCTAACTGTATGATTACCTTTCTAACTGACTCCTAATGGTAATATCTACTGTATGATTACCTTTCTAACTGACTCCTAATGGTAATATCTACTGTATGATTACCTTTCTAACTGACTCCTAATGGTAATATCTACTGTATGATTACCTTTCTAACTGACTCCTAATGGTAATATCTACTGTATGATTACCTTTCTAACTGACTCCTAATGGTAATATCTACTGTATGATTATCTTTCTAACTGACTCCTAATGGTAATATCTACTGTATGATTACCTTTCTAACTGACTCCTAATGGTAATATCTACTGTATGATTACCTTTCTAACTGACTCCTAATGGTAATATCTACTGTATGATACTAACTGTACTGACAAGTAGTTGAGAAGTTGGTCTAATGTGCTTCTCCACCAGGTACCTTTTATCTCTGTCTGTGGTCCACTACAGTTGATAGAACGTTTTAAGGGTCCAATCAACTTGTAGCAGGAAGTTATACTCTGTAAGGTTATACTGTTAGTGGCATCGTTCATAAGGAAGTCATGTGATGGCTTGCACTCAATGGCCATATAGGCATCAGTGTGAAGAGTTATTGAGAAGTGTGTGGGAAATGTGAGTATTAATAATTTACCTGATTCATAAATCTCTCTCTCTCTCTCTCTCTCTCTCTCTCTCTCTCTCTCTCTCTCTCTCTCTCTCTCTCTCTCTCTCTCTCTCTCTCTCTCTCTCTCTCTCTCTCTCTCTCTCTCTCTCTCTCTCTCTCTCACACACCTGTTCCTCCTTGCTGTTTATGATCACCAGGTCTACTCCTCTCTCCAAACAGTCCAGTCTGCTCTCAGTAAACAGGAAGTAACAGCTGGATCCCAAAATCCTCCATCCTTCAGGACACCTCAACACAGTCCTCATCGTTGGGACTGCCATGTCCCTCTCTTCCAGTACTGTTCCAGTATCTACATACAACACACAGCGTCCACCATATTGGTTTTTCAATATTCTAATCTGGATTGCGTTCCAATAATATCTCCTTTCTTCAGAAGTGTTTATTTGTCCACTACTTCCCACAAATATAAAAGTATTGGTTGGTGTAGGGATGGGCACTACAGGGAATTACCATATACCAGTCATTTCCATTCAAATCATGAAGGGAAGTGAACAAGTGCACACATCTGGAGAAAGTAGAGATTACTGGGACAGAAAGTAGAGTTCCCTTCAGGACAGGTTTTCCCGATTTTCCAACAACTGTTTAGCTCTCTTGGAGAAATATACTGTATGTTTCACGTATTGAACAACATATTCTAACGTTGGAATTAACTGTTGCCAAATCCACGACTGGGGTGGACTTTGGATAAATTCTGATTCTCTACACTTCTCCCAAAGTTTGCATTCCCCCTCAGGAATGTAAATGAACTAGATTGAGGAATATTGTGGAAACTCCCTCCAGCCATGCTTGCACCAATCCAATGCACACTTCTGGTTAAGGGTAGAGAATCGGAATGCAGCCGATGTCTAAGTGCACACTTCAAGTGCACACTTCAGGAGAAGGAAGGATAGAGAAGAGGGATGCAGCCCTAGTGACTGACTTGACTACTTTCCACACTCAGAGAGCCTCTTCTCCAGCTCTACCTTCTCATTGGTCAGAACACTGACCCTGACCCTCTCCCCCTCAGTAACTGGTCTCTCTCCCTCAGTAACTGGTCTCTCTCCCTCAGTAACTGGTCTCTCTCCCTCAGTAACTTGTCTGTCCCTCAGTAACTGGTCTCTCTCAACTTCTCTCTCCTCAGTAACTGGTCTCTGTCCCTCAGTAACTGGTCTCTCTCCCTCAGTAACTGGTCTTGTCCCTCAGTAACTGGTTCTCTCTCCCTCAGTAACTGGTCTCTGTCCCTCAGTTAACTGGTCTCTGTCCCTCAGTAACTGGGCTCTCTCCCTCAGTAACTGGTCTCTCTCCCTCAGTAACTGGTCTCTCTCCCTCAGTAACTTGTCTCTGTCCCTCAGTAACTGGTCTCTGTCCCTCAGTAACTGGTCTCTCTCCCTCAGTAAACTGGTCTTGTCCCTCAGTAACTGGTCTCTCTCCCTCAGAAAACTGGTCTCTGTCCCTCAGTAACTGGTCTCTCTCCCTCAGTAACTGGTCTCTCTCCCTCAGTAACTGGTCTCTCTCCCTCAGTAACTGGTCTCTGTCCCTCAGTAACTGGTCTCTCTCCCTCAGTAACTGATCTCTCTCCCTCAGTAGCTGGTCTCTCTCCCTCAGGAAATGGTCTCTCTCCCTCAGTAACTGGTCTCTCTCCCTCAGTAACTTGTCTCTCTCCCTCAGTAACTGGTCTCTCTCCCTCAGTAACTGGTCTCTCTCCCTCAGTACCTTGTCTTTCTCCCTCAGTAACTGGTCTCTGTCCCTCAGTAACTAGTCTCTCTCCCTCAGTAACTGGTCTCTCTCCCTCTGTAACTGGTCTCTCTCACTAAGTAACTGGTCTCTCTCCCTCAGTAACTGATATCTCTCCCTCTGTAACTGGTCTCTCTCACTCAGTAACTGGTCTCTCTCCCTCTGTAACTGGTCTCTCTCACTAAGTAACTGGTCTCTCTCCCTCAGTAACTGATATCTCTCCCTCAGTAACTGATTTCTCTCCCTCTGTAAATGGTCTCTCTCACTCAGTAACTGGTCTCTCTCACTCTCTAGCTGGTTTCTGTTCTGCCGGCACTGGTCTCTCTCCTTCAGCAGCTGGTCTCTGTCTGTGCACAGGTCAGTGATACCACTACTGGTATCTGGCTGGTCTCTGTCTTGAGACAGTCCAGTGGTGTTATAACAGGCCTCTAATAGGTCTCTCTCTTTAGTGGAGCAGGCTAAAATAATAAATATGGAGTCGATGATGTTTCCCCTAGACGCTGATCTTGGGTCAGTTTTGCATTTCCCCCACTAAATGGTTAAGGTTAGGATTGGGGGAGGGAAGTTGATCCTAGATCTCAATTCTCTATGGACGTTGTCTACTATTTTTGTGTGTGTTTCAAACTACAGGTGCCATTAGCTATGTAATGTCAAGTCTCATCTGTAACAGGTCTCTTGTCATACTTGCTGTAGTGAGATAATTAAATAGAGGCTATGTCCCAAATTGCACCCTAATCCTGGCAGCCTACTCTGGTCAAAAGTAGTGCACTAAAGGGAAATAGGGCATAGTCGCCTGTAGCTCAGTTGTTAGAGCGTGGCGCTTGCAATGCCAGGGTTGTGGGTTCGTTTCCCACGGGGGGTCAGTATGAAAATGTATGCACTCACTAACTGTAACTCGCTCTGGATAAGAGCGTCTGCTAAATTACTAAAATGTAGAAAATGTACAATTTGGGATACAGTCTCACTCACAAAAAGCCAGCCTCATAGAGATGTTGAGAGTGACTTGTAGAACACACAGCACCCAGCCTGTAGAGTCTTGATTAAACATTTTTTAAAATCCATTTTAGAATAAGGCTGTAACGGAACAACATTTGGAAAAAGTCAAGGGGTCTGAATACTTTCCGAATGCGCTGTATATTCATATATATCACTCAATAGCCATTGTCAATGTTAAGATTTATAGTTCACTATGTCGCAATTCATGTAGGCTGTACATAAATCTCTCTCTCTCTCTCTCTCTCTCTCTCTCTCTCTCTCTTTATTTGGTCGGCTAACAGTGATGTTGATGGTTGGATACAGTACTGAATGAAAGTAACCTTCCAAAAACATTCAAATAGAAAGAAAGATGTCACGGAAGAGAATGAACAGGGGATGGAGAGGACATCACATACAACTGTCTGGTCTACAAGCTTGCGTCCCTAAGGACACCCTATTTCCCTATGTAGTGCACTATATAGAGAATATGGTGCCATTTGGGACACATATCAAGTCTCCTTCTTATTGGTGGATAGAGCATTGAAACATCCTGTCACCTGCTGTGGGCCACAGACAGAGAACAGAGAGGGAGCGGGTGGATACCCCATTAGACACCATGCATGAGTGAGTGGGTATGTAGCAGGCAGCTCCACAGGTGCAATTGCCATTGGTCACCTACACGTTGTCCCTTGTACAGTCAAGGTTGGGAGTCATTGGTTTGTTTGTGTGTGTGTGTGTGTGTGTGTGTGTGCACTCTCAGTACTGTTTTTCACTCTGTGTGTGTCCAGGTCACACTGTTTTAAGTATCCAATCACATTCAATCAGGAAGCTGGTAGACCTTGTTAAAGAACATTGTTCCTTTATTTATTACTATGTGACTTTGTTATTCTTATTATTAATGTGATAAGCAGGTTAATAATTGGTCCCACTTTTTTTTGTACGAAGCATAAGCCTATTGTCACGGTTTCGGCCGAGACTGCTCCTCCTCCTGGTTCGGGCAGGCTTCGGCGTTCGCCGTCCCCGGAGTACTAGCTGCCACCGCTGTTTCTGCATTTGATTGCTTTTGTCTGTCTGTATCACCTGTGTCCATTTGTGTCTTGATTACGTGTCCTATAAGTTCCTTGTTTTGTTCTAGTAATTTTGTGTGTTGTTGTTTCCTGCCACAGTATCGGAGCTACGTGTTTGCTCCCGTTTTGTTTTGTATCTTAGTGTTTACGCGTATGCGTAATTGTTCCCTCGCCTCGTTGTTTGTTTTTGAGGTCGGAGGTTTTCCTCTTACTTGTGACTATTAAAGTCTGTTGGACTTTACCTCTGTGTCCTGCGCCTGACTCCTCCACCACATCCACATCGGTATTGTGACAGAACAACACACCTCCATGGAGTCAGCAGGAACAGCGGCGGCACCCGGATCCCTGGAAGACCGGATCAACTACCAGGACACCATGATCCGGCAACTCGGGGCCGCCATGGACGAGGTGTCCAACACGCTGCGCCGATTGGTGAATCGAGAGGTGCCCATGCCTTCTCACACCATCCCATCACCAACGGCCAGTCCTCCTCTCTCAGCACCGGAACCCAGTGGCATTCGGCTCTCGCTCCCGAGGGCATATGACGGTTCTGCAGCCGGGTGTCAGGGCTTCCTCCTGCAGGTGGAACTTTACCTTGCCACCATACACCCGGCGCCCTCGGGATACGAGAGCGTCTCCGCCCTCATCTCCTGTCTATCCGGCAAGGCGTTGGAGTGGGCCAACGCCGAATGGAGGGGAATAGACGCCGCAACCATCACCTACGCGGAGTTCTCCCGCCGCTTCAGGGCTGTCTTCGATCATCCACCTGAGGGGAAAGCGGCGGGGAGCGTCTATTCCACCTCCGACAGGGGAAGAGGAGCGCACAGGAGTTCGCACTGGAGTTCCGGACACTAGCGGCGGATGCGGGGTGGAATGAGAGGGCCCTCATCGACCACTACCGGTGTAGCCTACGAGAGGACGTTCGTCGTGAGCTGGCCTGCAGGGACACCAACCTGTCGTTCGACCAGTTGGTGGACATCTCCATCCGTCTAGACACCCTGCTGGCTACCCGCGGACGTCCCGAGTGGGGGTCGTCCATTCCACCCTCCAGCACCTCCGAGCCGATTCCCATGGAGCTCGGGGGGTGCTGGCGCTAGAGAGAGGAGGAGAGGGAACCCGAGGGAGGTCATCCCCTGCACCACCTGTGGTCGTGGAGGACACACCGCGGCCAGGTGCTGGGGAGGGTCTCCTGGGAGAGGTGACAACAGGCCACGCACTGGGGTGTCATTTCAGGTGAGTAGGCACCCCACTTACCCAGAGCTTTCTGTTGGTCACATGAGTATTCCTGTGAGATTTCCACAGGTGGCACCTCATTCCCAGCATAAGGCGCTAGTCGATTCAGGCGCAGCTGGGAACTTTATTGATCGGGCATTTTGTTGTAGGTTAGGAATTCCCCTTCGGCCGGTAGAAGCTCCATTCCCTGTCCACGCATTAGACAGCCGGCCGTTGGGGTCGGGTCTGATCAGGGATGTCACAGCACCGCTGACGATGACGACGCAGGGGGGTCATGAGGAGATTATTCAGTTTTATCTGATTGACTCTCCTGCGTACCCAGTGGTGTTGGGCCTTCCCTGGTTAAGCACCCATGATCCTACCATAGCGTGGCAACAGAGGGCTCTTATGGAGTGGTCTGCCCAGTGTGTAGGGAGATGTCTAGGTGTTTCCATAGGGGCGACCTCGGTAGAGAGTCCGAACCAAGTGCCCGCACTGCGCATTCCCCCTGAGTATGAGGATTTAGCACTCGTGTTTAGCAAATCGAGGGCAACACGGCTACCTCCTCATAGACAAGGGGACTGTGCGATAAATCTCCAGACAGGAGCAGCTCTTCCCCGGAGTCATGTGTATCCCCTGTCTCAAGAGGAAACAGCGGCTATGGAGACTTACATAGCAGAGTCCTTGGCACAGGGATACATACGGTCCTCCACTTCCCCGGTCTCCTCGAGTTTCTTCTTTGTGAAGAAGAAGGACGGGGGATTGCGCCCGTGTATTGATTACCGTAGTCTCAATCAGATCACAGTGAAATACAGTTACCCACTTCCACTGATTGCGACGATGACGGAGTCATTACGTGGAGCGCGGTTCTTCACAAAGTTGGATCTCAGGAGCGCGTACAATCTGGTGCGCATTAGGGAGGGGGATGAATGGAAAACAGCATTTAGCACCACCTCGGGTCATTACGAGTATCTCATCATGCCATACGGGTTAATGAATGCTCCTTCAGTCTTCCAATCCTTTGTTGACGAGATTTTCCGGGACATGCATGGGCAGGGTGTAGTAGTGTACATCGACGACATCCTAGTGTATTCTTCTACACGAGCCGAGCATGTAGCCCAGGTGCGCCGAGTGTTGAGAAGACTGTTGGAGCATGACTTGTATGTCAAGGCAGAGAAATGCCTGTTCTTCCAGGAGTCCGTCTCCTTTTTGGGTTATCGGTTGTCCGCGTCTGGCGTGGAGATAGAGGTAGACCGGGTATCGGCCGTGCGTAATTGGCAAACTCCAACAACTGTAAAAGAGGTGCAGCAGTTCTTGGGTTTTGCTAATTACTACCGGAGGTTTATTCGGGGTTTTGGACAGGTTGCAGCTCCCATTACGTCCCTGCTAAAGGGGGGTCCGGTTCGTTTGCAGTGGTCGGCTGAGGCGGACAGGGCATTTGTCAAACTAAAGAACCTGTTCACCTCGGCTCCTGTGCTGGCACATCCGGATCCCTCTTTACCATTCCAAGTAGAGGTAGACGCATCCGAGACCGGTATTGGGGCAGTTCTATCACAACGGTCCGGCACGCCACCTAAACTCCGCCCCTGTGCGTTCTACTCCAAGAAGCTCAGCTCGGCGGAGCGTAACTATGATGTTGGGGACAGGGAGCTGTTAGCCGTAGTCCAGGCCCTAAAGGTGTGGAGGCATTGGCTTGAGGGGGCTCAACACCCTTTCCTCATTCTGACTGATCACTGTAACCTGGAGTACATCCGGGCAGCTAGGAGATTGAACCCTCGTCAGGCTAGGTGGAACATGTTCCTAACCCGGTTCGTTTTTAAGATCACATACATCCCTGGGTCCCAGAATGGTAAGGCAGACGCCCTGTCCCGGCGGTATGACACAGAGGAGAGGTCCAACGAGCCTACTTCCATACTGCCGGAGTCTTGTTTGGTGGCTCCGGTGGTATGGGAGGTCGATGCGGAAATCGAGCGGGCACTGCGTACCGACCCTACTCCCCCCGAGTGTCCTGTGGGGCGGACGTACGTTCCGCTCGAGATTCGTGATCGACTT